GGCAGTGGTCTAAGTGTGTGTGTGTGTGGAAAGTAGTGTTGGGACAGTGGTTCCCAGCGGTAGAGATACATAGGAAAAAAGTAATTAATGTTTTGTGTGTTTGTCTCACACTTTATAGACATATAAATGCATTAAAAAGTACTCTTTTTTATAATGAATCAAAAAATGCTTTTTACTTTTATTTCTTAATAACCGCACAATAATACAAAACTAATGGAGACTTTCGAGATAGACTTTAAACTGAAAAAAAACTTTTTTCATTCGCTAATAATTCTGTTCGTAAAATGTTTTATATTTACACAACACGTATAGACAGGACTAATCAATAATTATGTTTTTCAGCGATGTTTTTAGAGCCTGAATAATAGCTCTGTTTATATAACTATCCTATTATAGTCTGGGTGTCTGTGCGCTCACTCTCCTCGTAATGTCTATGTGTGTATAATATATAAATTCTGTAATATGTAATATAACGTGGGTTACTTTTGTGTGATGATTGCATAAAATTGCCGCATCACGAATTTGTTGCGTTACGCTCTTATAGCAAGTGTATGTCGATTCACATCATTTCCATTCTCTCTCTCTCTCTCTCTCTCTCTCTCTCAAACCTCAAACGCACGACCAGATTATTACCCAGAATAAGCATTTTCGCTTCACTTTTATTAAAGCAATAATAAGTGATATTACATATTATACGATAAGTGCCATGTATTGACCGCACCGTACGAATTGCTTGGTGGTAGTGGTGGTGGTGGTGGCAGACATACATACAGTGTGTGGCATAACTCGTACCCCCAATAAAACATGCATTCCTTCTGTCAAAACCTCTTTAGACATTTCAAACCTCGCTGTTTGTCTCGCGAGTCAATGGTATTCATACAGAGAAAAAAGTATGAGTTTTGGATCTGTGTCTTAAGTCTAATATGATATTAGTTTATATTTACATATAATTTAATAAATACTTTCGCTTTTAGTGCTGCATATTACTAGTCGTAAGTAGGAATTCAGACATACATTTAGGGCCCAAAAGTCTCATTACCAACCAAAATATATTCAGTCCTTTTGCAGTATTTAATAAACAAAAACTTCAACCGAAAAATTCCGTCTTATGTCATGAATAGCTCAGAGAAAACATAAAATTAAATTTTATATTAAGTAAACATAAAGATATGCCGAGTTTTTGTCTTTGTTTTTGTTGTTTGCTTTACTTTTTTGATGTCAAAAAAGTTTTTTTAAATTTTTATTTCAACGCAAATACTAGTATAAGATTCTGATTTTTATTAAGTTATTATTTATTTTATATTATTTTTGCAATTAAATTAAGAAATATTTTTTATGATTTTTCTCGTGTGTGTATACTTTGATTGGTATCTAATCTGCGAAATATATTTATAAGTGTTTTGTGTTTTATAATCAAAAAATTTTCATTTGCAAGAATTTCTACCCTCTAATCGCACACACATTATTGGCTTTAACTCAAAAAAAGCATTTAATTTATATATATTTTTATAATTTTATTATCGTTTAACACACGGTATGTAATCATAATAAGTGTAATAATCGGAAAAACCTGTAACTCATTCGCATGAATATAATCAGTGATAAAAAATGATCGGAATTTTATGCAAAACTTTAAACAAAAACTTTTTCACAATCAAATAGATTAGTTAGTATATCGACAATTATGTCAATTGTAAATCTAAAAGTTATTACAACTTTTTCCTAGTAATAAATTTCTCACTTAAACTACTTTATAGTAAATTTTTTAAATAAATTTATCTATAATAGGAATTTCGGATATTTTTATTGACTTTAATAACCTTTTTATTTATCAATTACTTATTAACATTGGAAACTAATTACACAGATTGCATAATAATCGTGTGATTTATTGCAATACTTTTTTTGTTTAAATCAAATTAGTTGTGAATTTCAGGTGAAGAGCAATCCTACACAACATTAAACAACAGATAATACTGTACTTCAGTGCAAATCCTATTGAATTTAACGCTGCATTTAGTTATTGTTTTAAACTCTTTGTTTTATTGTCAAATCATGTATAATGTCAATATTTGGAGTCAGCACAAAAATGTTAACTTATTTATTATTTATTGTAATACTATTCATAACAATGTTGAATGTAATCAATATTTTTTGCATATTTAATCATTTAAATAATTAAAACCCAGATGTTTATTAATATTGAATTTTGTATTTTGTTTTCCGGTATTCTCTCTCTCTCTCTCTCTCTCTCTCTCTCTCTCTCGCATATTTTATACCTTATTTGCAATTTGCAATGTGTATATATTTTTATGTGTAGTTAAATATACAGATATAATCATATTTTATTTCAAATATTATTACACATAAATCAAATATTATTTTGCACTAAATATAAAATATTAGTTATGCTACAAATAATGTGTTATATTTGTACAATTAGTCTATCAATATAAAAAAATATTCATTCAAACAGTTAAATAGGATATTAAATAACATTGATTTGGTAGATGACCCCCAATATAGCAATAGGTATGCCACGATTGGCAAAAAAAATCATCATATGGCATTAAAACATACAAATTAAAAAATAGTTGCTAAATATTAAATTACACTCGACTACCCGGGCATTCTCGACAAGTATCCTAAAATATATACTAACCACTGATAATATGAAATAGATTGCGATTAGAAGTGAGCTATGCGGTAGACGGCGCTTATAACCATGGGCAATTGCAATCTGGGACGTGATTGGCGGCGAGAGAGATAGCTAGGGTGGGTGAGAGAGAGAGAGAGAGAGAGAACGGCGGAGAGAGAGAGCATAAGAGAGAGAGAATCTGTGAAGTGACTACATTTGGCAACCAGTTTGCGCTATTCAGTCGAGTAGTACCAGTGCTGTGAGCAACAACTATCCTACCGATGCCCTGTCTATACCATATACCTCACTATCACTTAGTGTACATTTATGAGCGACAGAAAAGTTTTTATAAAAGTTTTTCAAACTAAAAAAGTTTTTTATTTAACATAACCGCCGGTATATATCCGGAGATCACGCCGATGTGAGTCCGTGAATGTGTATTAGTGTAGTGTCCGTGCCGTGCGTACTGACCCATAGTTTTCTCTGTGAGTGAACCGAAACACACAAACTTAATGTGGATTTTTTCGGTGAGTTTCATAAATATTTGCCCAAATTATTGCATAATATTTCGCTTAATTTCTAAGGGCCTGTGAATTATGGCTCGCATAACGAGGTGGTTATATGTGTGTTGCGGAGCGCCTACTGCGACAATGGGAGCTCTGGTAGACTAGTAATTATTTTTTCTCTATCTCTTTCTCTTATACTGTTGTCTCTCACATGAAACACAAGTATAAGTGAAACAAATAAGGAAAAATATATTCACACAAATCTTAATAGAGTTTTGTATTTATTATATGAGTTTAGGCGAGAGAGAGAGAGAGCATAAGAGAGAGAATCTGTGAAGTGACTACATTTGACAACCAGTTTGCGCTATTCAGTCGAGTAGTACCAGTGCTGTGAGCAACAACTACCCTACCGATGCCCTGTCTATGCCTCACTATCACTTAGTGTGCATTTATGAGCGACAGAAAAGTTTTCATAAAAGTTTTTCAAACTAAAAAAGTTTTTTATTTAACATAACCGCCGGTATATATCCGGAGATCACGCCGATGTGAGTCCGTGAATGTGTATTAGTGTAGTGTCCGTGCCGTGCGTACTGACCCATACATACACGGGTGTAGTGTATGCTATGTGTGCCCTCACTATTGCTATCAAATTCATGAATTAAGGAAATCACACGAAAAAAGTTTTGTCAAGAATATCGTGTCCCTAAACCCATTGAATACACACACACTCACCACACGTCCAGCTAATCTCGTTACTCCCATCCCTGGTATATATCAAAACCTATTTATATACAGAATATATAACTTTTAAACATAAATATATCGATGTATTCATACAATATAAACGTGTATACAATATATACACACCATATATATACCAATGAATACAATTCTGGTGAGCCTTTAATACCCTATGATTTGCATTGATCTCTCTGTCCCGTAGGCCTAACACCAACTCTACTGCCAAACCGTTTGGAAGAGATGCCGATTGGCAACAACCGTGGCTTTCAAGCGTTTGAAAGTTCAATTTTGGTGAACATAACCTAATATCTGTCCCGGCTTATGCTAAAACTTTCCAGGTGCGCGCCACAGTTGGCTTTTAAATATATCCATAATAGCCGATAATGCACTCAACTTTTATTGTATTACCTTATATTATATTTTCCTTAACACTTCACGAGTGAAATACCCGGCTATTGGTGAGAGACAATGGGTTTTAGTGTGTGGCTGTCCTTCCGATACGATACCCACATACACAGCATATCTAAATATATAACTCTTTCCTTATCTCTCTCTCTCTCTCTCCATTCTCTCTCTCCAAACGCCGGGTGACCACTGAAGCTACCGATCCCTCTCGACCACACCATTCACAACACGAAGTGCTAACATTTCACACGTATTTGTTTTCTCATTATACAGGTATCTTATAGCCGTCATCCTTACGACGTACCTGTGCAGCCTAAGTCATTTAGTAAGTCATCAAAATATGTGTCCACTCTATCGCACAACACGCACACATACTATTGTCACACACATGCATACCGGCCCCCTGCCTGTGCCCACCACTCTATTGTATGTCGTGTCGTGTATTTTGTGTGTGTATTATCCATAATGTACCGGTCCGTCACTCCAGCCCCGCGTGATATACCATACCTTTATTAGTACTCTCTCTCTCTCTCTCTCTCTCCCTCCCTCCCTCTCTCTCTCCTCTCTCTCTCCTCTCTCTCTCTCTCCTCTCACTCACTCACTATCACTCTCCCAACCCTCCCGTACCCCCCGCTTAGGAATCAAAAATCATTAGTCGCACACGAAATGTGTGCCCAAAAATCACTGGTACCCCCGCATAACCGCGAGGAATGGTATGCTACACGTCTCTCTCGCACTGTCTAACATTCCCTCCCTATCCGCGACATTCAGGTGGAAACTCGACATATGTTTGAGAGCGAAGAACAAATACTGGTGCCGAGAGTTGACACTCGGCTGTCACTGCCATCGGTGCCGGCGGCTGTCGTCGTGCCGTCCCCTCGCCGACAGTCACCGGTTCCGCCGCCGCCCCTAACGAACAATCACAACAGCGACCCGACTCACCATAAGCGCCGACACCACAGGCACCACAAACCCGCACACCATAGCAATCATAACCATAATCGCGACAATTATGTAAATAATGTAGTATTCAATGCGAGTGATCATCACTCGAGGCATCACTCATCGACACCACCGACCGCTGACAGCGACTTCAGGACGTCCATCACGACCAGGGATTTCCTACTATACAGCCGATGCAGTCAACAGTATGTCAGCTTTTTGCACAAACACATCGGCACCACCGTCTCGGACACGGATAGATTCGGTACGCCTTTCCCTTAAAACTTTAAATTTTTCTAATACTTGATTTGAATACTTTATTATATACCGTGTGTGGAGTACACTATACGCTACGGATACACAGTAAACAAATGATATTTTTAGTGTTTTAAGCGACTATTATCTCGAATGATAAAAACTGGGAAATAATTTATATGTATAGTTATCTCATTGTAGGAATTCCCGGTGCAAATACAATAGATCACTTGTGCCCCTATCCTAGTGTTTGCGCTCATACTCACACCCCGTGTCAAATCTTTCTCTCTCTCTCTCTCTCTCTCTCGCCTAAACTCATATAATAAATACAAAACTCTATTAAGATTTGTGTGAATATATTTTTCCTCGTTTGTTTCACTTATACTTGTGTTTCATGTGAGAGACAACAGAGAAAGAGATAGAGAAAAAATAATTACTAGTCTACCAGAGCTCCCATTGTCGCAGTAGGCGCTCCGCAACACACATATAACCACCTCGTTATGGGAGCCATAATTCACAGGCCCTTAGAAATTAAGCGAAATATTATGCAATAATTTGGGCAAATATTTATGAAACTCACCGAAAAAATCCACATTAAGTTTGTGTGTTTCGGTTCACTCACAGAGAAAACACATTAAGAGGTCTCTCTCTCTATATATCTCTTTACACGATATTTATAGCGAGTGTTGTTTTCGGTGTGTCTTTCCCGATGACCTCCTATTGCGAGACAACGATAATAAATGTCGAGTTTTGTTCACTTGTTTTAAATCTCAGTCCACTTATGAAAAGAAAGTCTCATTTTTTTGCTCGTCGTTTGTTTAGTCAGTCAGTTATAGTCAGTTCATTGAAAATATATGTATTTTTCTGTTTCACTTGAAATCTCTCTCTCTCTTTCTCTCTCTCTCTCTCTCTCTCTCTCTCTGAATGATCGTGGAAGTGATCTGTTGGGGCATTACCTCCAGAAACGACTTAACTAACAATTAGCCTATAAATTGCATTTTACAGTAATTAAAACAACCACCAAAGCCACGAGCTCAAATCATCAGTAACCAACATTATTTACGGTTATATAAGTCCCATAAGTAAGTAACGTACTACTTTATCAATTGTTCAAAATACGCTATTAAAACATTATAAGTGGTTTATAGACTGTTTTTTTAAGGCAAAGTAAATATTTAATGACAATTCAAAATCCTGTTAAAATACTGAAGGATAATGGGGGACATATCGTGAACATAATGAAATAACAGCTATTTTATATAGTATTGTGAAAATTATTGGCAAATATTTGCCGTATTAACAAACATTGAGTGCATAATCATATAAATTAAATATTATTTTTAAATGCATTTAACTTTTTTGAGGTAATAGTAAATCAATGTGTTTTTTGCAGCGATTTTCATTTATAAATAGCTTTTTCTGTGATACAAAACTCCTAAATATAAATATATAAAACTTATATATAAATATATTTACTGTATATACAGTATATAATTGCGATTAACGTATAATTTTGATGTCAGAAAAGTAATGACTTTTTTGTACTAAGAAATCAGCGCTTAATTAATGTGATTATAAATTATATATTAAGTTTGTATTTCTTTCTGTGCATAATCTCAACCTACCATCTCATCGCCAATACCTACCACTACAACCTACCAGATTCACCAAATATCTGACAAAAAAATTCCGTTTCATTTATAAATTACTGTTAAGTTTTAGGACAATTTTATGACTTCCTATTACCCCCTGTATAGCACTTGTATTACTTTATTGTCGATAAAATATATATATTGTGAAAATTATTGGCAAATATTTGCCGTATTAACAAACATTGAGTGCATAATCATATAAATTAAATATTATTTTTAAATGCATTTGATTTTTTTGAGGTAATAGTAAATCAATGTGTTTTTTGCAGTGATTTTCATTTATAAATAGCTTTTTCTGCGATACAAAACTCCTAAATATAAATATATAAAACTTATATATAAATATATATACTGTATATACGGTATATAATTGCGATTAATGTATAATTTTGATGTCAGAAAAGTAATGACTTTTTTTGTACTAAGAAATCAGCGCTTAATTAATGTGATTATAAATTATATATTAAGTTTGTATTTCTTTCTGTGCATAATCTCAACCTACCATCTCATCGCCAATACCTACCACTACAACCTACCAGCCCTACTGTCATTGGAAACGGTTCGCTATGACAATAATATAGGAATACGTATCAAATCCAAGATCGGCGGCGTCTACCTGTGCTTTAATAATAGGGGTCGACTCACCACTAAGGTATGCATTTGCGTCTATGTCATTTTAATTACCATTATCCACTACACCACTAATTATGCTAAAAATACATACATGTATGCGTTTGACAAACAAAAAACAACAAAATACTTATTACAAGTCGTAAGGAATTTCCAAAATAGCCATAAAACTGAGTGACTTAATGAGAGTTATGTTTAAAACTTTTATATACATCACACAATTCACGTGTATGACTTTATTTCATGCCAATTGCATAACTAATCGTAACATTTATTTTTTCGCGAAATGTTTTATCAATTTTTCTGAGTTTAACTTTTATATATGAGATAATGTTTTTATTATTGAAACGCGTATTATATCTCGTTTTGAAATGTCAATATAATTTCAAAACCTCTTTTTTATCGCTAATTAAGAGGTGTATGGAGATTGCGAGTACAGGTATTCTCAATGCCATACATCCTTTTTGTTGTGGCGATCATTGGCTTAAATTACAATATTTTCGGCCAAAAACAGTCACTCATTCATAGGTTTTGCTCGCATTTCCCATTCATTCACACATTCATGTCATTCACTCTCCCATTCATACCGACGATCACTGGTCTCTCGCTTTTTCCTAAGAGTTTTGTGTAGTTTAAGGAAAAGTTTTATGTATTGTATGAGAGAATTGTTGTCTAAATCCGAAAAGCAAACACTGGTTTCGGAAACACAAACTGTATCCATACTCTCTCTCTCTCTCTCTCTCTCTCTCTCTCTCTCTCTGAATGATCGTGGAAGTGATCTGTTGGGGCATTACCTCCAGAAACGACTTAACTAACAAAAAAGAAAGTCTCATTTTTTTGCTCGTCGTTTGTTTAGTCAGTCAGTTATAGTCAGTTCATTGAAAATATATGTATTTTTCTGTTTCACTTGAAATCTCTCTCTCTCTCTCTCTCTCTCTCTCTCTCCGAGTTTGTGTCCAACGATATCTATATTATCGAGAAATACAGTTGTTTAACACCACCGGAGCGCCCAGTTATTCATGTATATCTAAATAATAGCATTTGACAGCCTTTTCGCGGTCTCTCTCTCTCTCTCTCTCTCTCTCTCTCTCTGAGACATTCCCCTCATAACACATAACATGACAACAAAATATTTGTCGTCTTTCTTAACAACAAATATCTTTAACACAAATAAATACACAACAAAATATAAGGTGCCTTTTTTGTGTTAAGTTATAGTGAGAGTTAGTGAGCAGCGAGAATTGGTGTCAAAAATATGGTTTAACTGAACGAAAAAGACCTAATCATAAGTGTATCCCGGTTTTAATGATGGATAAGATTTCGCACTCAAACGCTATTATTATATTATTATCTCCGAAAATATTTTGACTATTCAGCCAAGAATTACATCTATTTATTACACATAGTATTCGCTCTCTCTTTAAGTTTAAGCCGATTCGCACACAAACACAATCAGAGAGAGAGAGAGAGAGAGAGAGAGAGAGAGGCCATAGGGTACTCGAGAGTGCAATTGGAGTGCAATCGCCAAAAAATAGCTAATATTTTGTTTGCCAACTGAACATAACATTTGTGTTTAAAAACACTGAATGAAAATCATTTGCTGCCAGTCTTTGCGCTCGTAGAGTGCTATTCAAACAAAAAACAAAAAACTTATTGAAAATATTATTTATTGAAAGTCAATCACTGAGTGTTGTGGTGCCGGATAAGCAAACAGTTATGACCAGAGAGTCAACAGTGGGTTATGGGGGTTAGGGGGAGGACTAGGAGTGTGTGTTTGTATATTATGTATAACTATATTAAAATCTCTGACTCCACACAACATTTGCACAAAACTTCTAAAATTCATTGTTTTAGTGATGTATATAAATATTGGTCCTAAACATCCTGTTCACCGGGGCTACTTGCCATCTAAATAGTTAGCATACAAATACACTAAGCATACCATTCCCTACACCGGTGGCCATCACTGCAAAATATTATAATAATCGGCACTTTTGTGAAGCAATTGGAAATTTGAAGAACAATTGAAAAAAATGCATTTCAATTATAGACTATTCATTGAAATGAAAGTTTTTTGTAGTGTTTCGTGCGGTCCCCTAATTTAGAGACTGTCTGTCAGTAAATATAACTTCTTTGTAGCTCTCAAACAGACATTTTTGGCGAAAATACATATAAATCTCGCGATTCTTGAGAGAGAGAGAGAGAGAGAGAGAGAGCCATTCATACCTATCGAAAGCCGAAAATAAGGGCTCAAATTATAGCTATGAATAAATTGTCGTTAGTTAGCGACCACTTTAAAACATACAAAATACTCCCAGGCCACTTGTATTTAGTTTTTTTTGTTTAGCATACCTGCGCGCTCTCAAGGGTGGGCTTACATTGTGAGCTAAATTGCTAAAAATTGGTCATTTAAATGCCTTTTTCTCAACTGATCCATCAAAATAAATCATTGCATAAATAATAAGTCTATTTAAGTATAGCTTTTTTACGGCATAACCACTAATTGAATGCTAGAATTACTTCATTGTTCAGTGAGAGAGAGAGAGAGAGAGAGAGAGAGACTTGAAAAAATTGTCTGTAATTAACGGAATGCATGCTTAATCATCCATTTATTTGCATTGTTATTATATTTAGGACCGTATATACAGTTATCTATTGTGTATTTTTTGTAACTTTCTATAAATATAGTATTCAACGCAAAAAATAACAACAAAAAACCAGAGTTTCATTCATAATATTAACTAATTTAGTCTTTAGTTTTGCTTATTTCGCAAATTATTGATATTAGCGTTTGACTGGTCTTTTCATAAGGACTACTACTCTCTATCTATTCACTCCCTGTCCCGTCAATTACTGACACAAATGTCTGTCAGTCACGCAAATACCGATCATCTCTCTCTCTCTCTCTCTCTCCTCATCACTCACTCACTCTCACGAATACACTGACTATTTCTGGCGACTTATACCTCAAATATTGTTGCCTTTTCTGACCACAAAATTTGAGATAAATTTCATAAACCATTAATTACTAATCAAATCATTTTGTGATACCGTCTACTGACCCCCCAAAGAGTGCACACAATTGGGAATAATTAAGACTTTTTGTGTCAATCATTAACGATTCCTATCGAAAATAGACTCCTAGTCTATCACCACAATCTAACATACCTTTCCACTCATTAAGTCTCATGAGTGCTATCATATCCCTGAATATAATACAAATATTTTTATTATCAGTGAAAGTGTATGTTTTGCGAGTCAAGGGCCCAACCCATTAGGCACTATATGTCTGTGCGATAAAAATCATAAGCAATTATACTGTACTTATAAATGCTTTTTAAATAACAATAATATTTATAAACGATATCTACTTAACTGTATTTCAATAAAACAACTATCGCAGCATTTAATATACAGGTGTATTAATATTGTACGAGTGTTTAATAGGTATTTGAATTATTTTATTCAAACACTTAGATGTCATTAATTAGTATTTATATTTATTTTACAACACATGTACAGAGTTTGGAGTGGAATTCCTACCGATGAGGTAAAAACAGGATCAAAATGTTATGTTAAACAATGATATCATGTGTACCATCGATGAAGTAGTATACATAATGTTTTTTGGTATTAATTAATATTTATTTGCTATAATAAAACATTAGATAACAAATTTTTTATTATTACTATTATTATTATAATATGTTTATGTAATTCACAAACAAATATTTATATATACAGGTATGCTTTTTTTTGTATGAAACGGTATTAAAAATCCCGGAATCTCCTGATTTAATTATAAAGTTTTATGTTTTATGTCCGGAATTTCATTAGTTTATTGAATTTAAATGAAACACTAAACTCGCACTTATATAATATCAGTGCACCCACACATACCATACCGGTGTTCATATTTATTAATATTATATGACTTTTTTATTTAAAAATATATATATATTATATAATGTTCCGTATATACTTTTACGATTAGGGAAAATTGTTTTTGAAAACTTTATATATTTTTTACAATTTCCATTCCCTCTGATAGTTTGATTTGTTATGATTTTATGCATATTTTCACTCAATGTCTGCAGCGATCTCAGTATAACCGTCACTAATATGCCATTAATTTGTTTGCCTTTTTTGGTCATTAGATTATTACTATATTTTTTTGCATCCCATAAAATATTTGTACATTTCCCAGTGTTTGCAATTGTATTCAAATGAGATCTTGAATTAATGATTGGGTATCTGTTTTACAGTGTTATTTACGGCATAATTGTATAATCTCTAGACTATGTGTAGATATACAGGTATATATTTTTGTGTAATATCTAAATCTCTGTTAAAATTAGATTATATTTTCGCTCAATTAGTTTTATTCAATAATAATAATTATAAGCATATAATAAATAAGTTTTTAACTAATCTGTTTGCACCTAAAAATTGTGACCCAATTCTTGTGACTAATATTACTTTTCAATTGCTTTTCGCATATAATAATCAAATAAAATAAAACTTATTTATTAACTAATATTTTAGGAGAAATTTTTTTTGATTGCAATTTATGCCACAAAATTACTCCTTATTTGCATTTAATATCAATTTAGTTTATAAATTAATTTTGCAAAAACAGTTAAAGATTTTAGTAATTTTGTTTTTAAGCAAACATTTATAACTTTATTTTATTTATGATAAATGTTTGAAATAATTGTCATTTTCGCAGAATTAATAAAAATGTGTTTTTATTAGCGATTGGGTGTTGAATTTGACTATAAATAGATTGTTATGTCTATTTTTATTTAAATATTAAATCATGATTAGCGATAAAGATCCTGGTTTATTAATCGGAAACTTTGTTTGCGTTTTATTAATATGACACTTAAAATATTAATCATTATTAAACATAATTGCGTTTAAAATAGAAATAAAATAAGATCTCTCTCTCTCTCTCTCTCTCTCTCTCTCTCTCTCTCTCGTTGTCGAAAATACAGAATAATATTTTGATAGCAAAACTTAATGTCAAAAAGTTTTATCATTTCCATGAATAGGATATCTGAATATGAAAATAGGTATTAAATTATAGTAGGCGTCTGTCAGACATACGGTGCGATACTATTACTTGTTATGCGATATTACTGGTGATCACTCGCTGTATGAATGTGTGGTGTATATGAATAAGAGATATAAATCTCAAGAATTTTCGGGTCTTTATTGTTGACAATTTGTGTGCCTTTTATTATATTCACACAACATTTCCAATGATTAGTAGTATTATTATTCCGAGTCTTTTGCGGTTTTTGTAGTTCAGCAGCAATTGATAACACAAATACATATAACATATACACAGTCAGAGAGAGAGAGAGAGAGAGAGAGAGAGAGAGAGCACAGGACATACAGCACGTAAATAAGTATACATGCCTATCGGTGAGCTAGGTGGCTGGCGTCTAATAAATCATTTACTTCTTAAACATTATAAAAGGGATTAACTTTTTTCTGATTTCTCGAGTATTTAACTAATTCGCTGCTCTTTACGCGCCTACCGATAGACTTATACCGACTCTCTCTCTCTCTCTCTCTCTCTCTCTCTCTCTCTCTCTCTCTCTCTCTCTCTCNCTCTCTCTCTCTCTCTCTCTCTCTCTCTCTCTCTCTCTCTCTCTCTCTCTCTCTCTCTCGTCAGTGACTGAAAACATTAAAAGCTATAAATTATTTGCGTTAAACTCGAGAGAGAAATGCTTTATTGCCGAACAGATTGTTCTCATTGATTGCCACCGCAAACATGTAGGGCTCGCATACCATATTAAACACACACCAAACCCCTTACCAAAAATCCATGGCATACCACACCACCAGTGTATACCCGGTGTGGTTGTGGCTATTAATGCCACTTTTGTGTACACAATACCGGTGCAACACTTTATTATGTAGTCTCTAAATTATACGAAAATCCTATTTATTTTTCTATACATTTTTCTACTGGTGTTTAAGGCATACAAATGCGCTTACAGTGCAATTGGGGTAACATTTTTTAGTGAGAATTTTACCGAAATTTTTATTATTGTTATATAAATATATTTTTATCGTCACTTAATATGTAATATCAGTGCACACAAGTACTGCCCATACATTTGATATTCATATCTCTTTTTGGTATAATAATATATTTCTCCAAACATACAACAACTTTATTATACAATACATTGCAATCGGCAGTACATTGTATACGTATAAATGTATATATGATATATGAATTGCACAATCACAAAGTTTACTTCAAACTTTTATTATAGCATTATCTCATGTATTCAGTAAATAGTTGTTAACAAATATCTCTCGCATTTTATACGCTATTTATACTCAACAATGAATAATAAAAACTTTTCATTTTCTCGTACGTAATATTCGGCAATAGTTTCATCTTTTTTATTATATTTTTGCACAAACGCTGTGAACATTAATCGCGAAATTTTCTGTAGAATTTAACACATAATCTCTGATATAATAATATAAATATTTTCTAAATATTGTCTGAAAACATAGAAAATTACTGTGTATGTTTTGTATGAAATCATTTTATGTGATTTTTGAAAAAGTAATTTTAAAACAATAAATTTTGCATAACTTATATGAGGGACGAGTGAGTGAGTGAGTGAGTGAGTGAGAGAGAGAGAGAGAGAGAGAGAGAGAGCATTTAAATATTACATAACTTTTTAACGACACATACAATCGTTAAAAATATAAATACATTTCGGAGTCAATTATATAAATATACTTATATTCAAATACATTATTGCTTACCATTTGTTTAATGTGCGGTTAAACCACTTATTGTGCAATTTATCGTAATTTCCAAACAGACAGTTAGCTAACAAAAAAAACCAAAAAATTATAGCCGATCTTAAAAATAGCACTCAATTATCCGATAACTAATTGTACCCAAAAAATAAGACTCCTGTCCTTAAGACTTGTAATAACTTACTCTTAACAACAACAACACAAAAAAAACTTTAAATAACTTTTTGAAACTAATTAACCCCGGTATTTTATCTGTATGTCCGTACAGTTTGACGCCACGAACATCGAGTGCCTATTCAAAGAGGTGACCGAAAACCGGTTCATAAAGTTCCAGTCGCTGTACAACCCGGACTGGTATATCGGCGTGAATAAGCATGGTAAAACCATACCCCAGCAGATACCCCTGTCCCACAAGACCATACCGCACTCCAAGCGCAGAAAGTGCTACCATTTTGTGAAGAAAACGCCACAAACACCGTCACCGCCACCACCGCCGGACTCCAGTCACGAAGTCCTACATAATTACGACACTAATATCAAGCCGTTGAGCGCCGGCGGCAGCAATACATACCATAACCCGCACCACACCCGACATCATCCACATAAGCCTAATGGCAAACCAGTGATTACTAAGAGACTTGTGTTGAGTCCGACGTCCAAACAGTTGTTTTCCGCGTTTCGTAATAGTAATGAAAATTACGAAAACTTTTTGACAAACAATTCGTCAGTTGTTAGTGCGAGACACCACTGGCGACCCAACCATTCATATCATAGTAATAATAATAATAATAATAATAACGGCAGACCCATGTTGACGGCCTATTAATGACGGACTACCTGTGCCCCACAATTTGTTTTTTTATAATATTAATTATTATTTGTTTGTTGCAAATCACGTATTAATATTCATATAAAAATTTATATATATAATATATAAATATATAATTTACATATATATATATTTTTCATACGTATAATCATGACCTATCAATGCAATCACATTACTATTATAATAGTCTTTAACGTATTAATATTCATATAAAAATTTATATATATAATATATAAATATATAATTTACATATATATATATTTTTCATACGTATAATCATGACCTATCAATGCAATCACATTACTATTATAATAGTCTTTATTATAATATTAATGAGAAATGATTATAAAATAAATTTCTGTAGACAAAGCAAACTCCTATTCACATCACCCATTAAGTCAGACCTACCTTATCTACTAAACTAACTATAAAACTAACTATTAATTAAAATATATATATTATATAAATATATTGACTACACGCCGCAGTATATATATCATAGAAAAATAAGTATCATTATATTTGTCATTATTTGCATATTTTATATATTATTTTTATTTTTAATGATTATATGAGAAAAACTAATAATTAATGCCCTTTATTAATTATCATAGTTTTTGTCGGATTATATATATTATGTATGACTACCTCATCGACACATCTATTATATTATAATAATAACTGAAATCTCTTTTAAGAAATATGTTTTTTATATACAATTTAATTATTAATTAATTTAATGCCGAGACTAACGTGTAAATTAGGAAAACTTTTTGTTTGTTTTATAAGTAAAGTGAATATTATTTTTTGGTTTGTCGGTCGAGATAAATGAAAAAATATAATTTTTTTGAATAAAATATATAATTTATATATAAAAATAAAAATATATTTGAAATAGTATTTGTAATTGGTATATGAATTTGACAGAGATCAAACAAAAGCAGCAAGTAGTATTTTGTATAAAAACTTTTCGCAAACAGTTTTGATTATATTTCTAATAAAATTATTATATGATTTAAAATTAATTTTTGTCGAAAAACTATATACACATCAAAAAACTAATAATGTTTTCTTAGAATTCAATTTTGTGCCAAAGTTTATATAAAAATAAATTTAATTTATAAATATAAATATTAAAAATCAAATCAATGTTTTCATATATATTTGTAAATTTTTTGTCCATTTTTATAATAAAATTGCTAATTTTTTTTGACAAAATTTGTCCAATCAATTAATTAGTATTGTATTTATGCTGTAGTATTAGTACTTACTTCAAAACAATACTATTATTATTAGCTAGGTATTTATAAAATTCACATAATTTCTAAGGAATTTATGATAAATAGATATCAGTTTCACTACTTTTACATATGCCATTCAATTGTATAATAAATATCTATATTTTGATCCCTTTTATAATATTAGTAATAAATTATAACAATAACTAAGATTTGTTTTGTAATAATAAGTATACAAACAAAAGCAGCAAGTAGTATTTTGTATAAAAACTTTTCGCAAACAGTTTTGATTATATTTCTAATAAAATTATTATATGATTTAAAATTAATTTTTGTCGAAAAACTATATACACATCAAAAAAAACTAATAATGTTTTCTTAGAATTCAATTTTGTGCCAAAGTTTATATAAAAAATTTAATTTATAAATATAAATATTAAAAATCAAATCAATGTTTTCATATATATTTGTAAATTTTTTGTCCATTTTTATAATAAAATTGCTAATTTTTTTTTGACAAAATTTGTCCAAACAATTAATTAGTATTGTATTTATGCTGTAGTATTAGTATTAGTACTTACTTCAAAACAATACTATTATTATTAGCTAGGTATTTATAAAATTCACATAATTTCTAAGGAATTTATGATAAATAGATATCAGTTTCACTACTTTTACATATGCCATTCAATTGTATAATAAATATCTATATTTTGATCCCTTTTATAATATTAGTAATAAATTATAACAATAACTAAGATTTGTTTTGTAATAATAAGTATGACTTTTATCGACACACTTTTCAGCTAAACCCTACTATTAATAATTATATATTTAATGATATACCCAAGACATTAAATTATCTTTTAAAATAAAAATGATATCAAAGTTTAAAATCCTCCCAAACTATACTATCAAATGTAAAAAACCCATATATGTAGTAAGATATCATGTATTGTGTCTCTAGTATGTAGTGAGTGGCCATTCAGTGCACTCATACACAACCAAAACACACGGCACACACACTTCGGCACTGGGAAGCCAATAGTTTTGTCAATGGTGACAATGCACGAGAGCACCGGGATGGGTACTGTATACTTACGGATAACTTATTAGGAACTAAACAAAACGACTACAGGAGCCCAGAGGTGGCCGGCACTGGCTTTTTATTTAGCCTTATATGCCATTACTCTGAAAAGTTTGTACTAAATATACGCTTTTTTGCCATATATTTGCCTCCAGACACACACCGGTTATTACCAACCATTCGCCCCTCTATTCCGGTGCTCTCTCTCTCTCTCTCTCTCTCTCATATAAGGGTGTGTTGTGTCCATCACTGGAGTGGACTCTCAAGTGGAGTTCCAATCACTATAAAAATCACAATACTTTTGGAGTGAGAGACTACTGACTACTGCCTGTCCTCACAGCGCGAAAAAAAAATTCACTTACAGTCCACTGAACTCTCATAATGTTATTGATTGACATAAAAAAGTTTGTTTTGTGTGACTATTATTTAGCGATCAGTTTATTGAATATACAGAAAAAAAATCCGATTTTATTTCATAATTATTGGCTCCGATAGAGAGTGAAAGTTGTGAATCAATCGCTTTTTTATATATCGACAAAGTTTTATGTGTTTATACACTATATTAACATCACATTTGCATTGTCGACAGCTGGGCCACTACTACCGGGCCCCTCCATAGCCAATACCCCCGCACACACGACGTGGTAATCAAAGCCAACATCTCTGATCCCTGAAGTGGGACCCGATGTCAACCTTTTATATTATAATTCAAACCATTTTTTGCTTCATTTGAACACAAATTTGTATGTTTTTTGTGTTATTCAGTTATTATGATAAATACATTTTATTTGCCTATTATTCACTTAACGTCTGTATTATTGGGTAGGCTTTCCACTAAATAACAATCATAATGACGAATAAATTTTTATGATTTAAGTTAGATTTGAATTTTAATAGCATTTGTTTGGTTATAATAAAATCAATGCCAACAACAAAAAATTATATTACATATATTATCGGCACAAACAATGTATTTGAATAAATTGACAATTTATTTGAAAAATGAGTTCATAGTCTGAACTTCAGACTCGATATTTAGTTTATAAATAAATTATTTTTAAAAACATTTCTAATTTAACAGTCAGTGAAGTCATTTGAGGGGCAAAAGTGTAGATTTTCTAATCAAAAATTAATTTTCAAAAACAAAATTCTTGTTATCAATGTTTGGACGGAATGAATGAATGAAAAACTTTTTCAGATTAATATAATTTATGAAGAAAAAAAGTCATATTTTTTCACGCAAAATAAATTTTATTGAATTACGGTATAATAACTGATTTGGTGGCAATATCTCACTATTATATCTGCATTTAATGTTCACATGATGTGCAGAAAATGCATATTAATTTTGACACATTTGTAAATATTTTGAGTATTGTGATAACGTACACTCGGAGGGGGATTATTATTTATTCAGATGTCTTATATATAAAAATGTATTTTTCAAATAAATATTATAACTATTATTGTAGTCATTGTCGGCGAAACTAGAAATCAATTTCTAATTACTTTTTGTTCAGATATTCTGTTATTTGCATTATTCTAGACGCGAGTGAAATGTATGTGATTTTTGTTATGCAAATAAACAGCTTATGAAACATAATTTTTTATTCATTTTTGCCTACATTTCTCAACTATTCTTTCAGTTTTTTATCTGACAATTGGGAACAAAGGTTACAATTTGCGGGATTAAATTGCATGCAAAATAATATTATGTTTTTTAACCAATGAGAGTACATATAACACATAATTTTATTCAACTCGGAGTTAATAGTTTTAAACAAATTAGTTACTGTGGTTTAGTTTTTATAATTTATAAGCATAATTAATAACTAAATTAATCGCACAACACTGGTTAAATAAATATTAAATACATATTAAACTTTAATTTATACAGAATAATTACTTCTAATCCTTTAATACTTTAAAAGTAATTTATTATAAATAAAATATTTAGAAAAATACAATTTATAATTACAATTCTCATATAAACCTAACCGTAAATAATTTATAAGTTATAAATTTATATTTAAAAGTCCCTAATACATTTGCACCTAAACCACAAAAACAAAAATCACCCGTAAATTACAATCGTTAACTACGTGCAAAAATAATTACAGACAGCAAAAAAAAGTTTTGTGTGATTTATTCGTATCTAAAAATGCAATCATAAATTGTATTATATATATATTTTTTTTGTGTGTCTATACTAGTTGTGAATTATTCTCAATATATTTCTCACACAGTATTATATATTCTTTATATCACTTCAAACATTTCAAACACATATTAAAGACTCGCAAACAATAAAAAGGCAGCTTTTTTGACGCGTAAAGTCCTTGGATTTAATGCCGTGATCTTCAAAATTAATTATTGAATGAATGAAATATTTTTTGCCCAAAAATATCATATATTAAATATAATAATGGGAATCGAGAAACGCTATGTGTTTTAGAGTAACACTTATTGAACAACAGTTTTTGATTTGATAGGACTTGAGACGTGAAAAGCATACATGGCATACAAATCACACGTAAAATAAAACAAACAAATGTTTTATAAATCAAATACTAAATACATACACACAAATCAAATCCGCAAATATTTGATATAAAAAATCATTGGCTATGGAAATTCATTTATGAGAAATGTTTTACATCTTTATAGCAATAATTTTTCTTAACATGTATTGTCTCTCTCATACATAACACTACAACTGTATTATAATTGCAATTTCAATGAGAAGTTTTTTTTGTGTGTGTATGTATTAATATTTATTTAATATTATAATACAATATCTGAATGCATGCATGAAAACAAGTTTTGAGCTGATATTTGATTGAATATAAAAAACATGCATACAATTGATCACCAAATTTGTTGCACACAAAAAAAGGTGATGAATAGCCAGGAATTCATGAGATGTCTTAAGACAAGTCATAAGACACATACCACTCGACGATCAAATAGGAGTGGCATTTATCGGTGTGTATATAAAAAATAATAAAATAATATGCGCTGAGATTTATTGAATATTAATCTAATTTATTAAAAGCAATTCCCCACACAATTATTTGCAAAAATGTTTGATATACTGTTTGATGAAACTTATATTAATATTTCACAACAACCTCTTATCGCATAATAAGTTATGCATTGTATGTATATCTGTAGTCGTACTGTATATACAGTGCAATCACATTCTTGAATACAGAGAAAAAAAATTTGATTAAATTAAAAATATAAAAAACTTTTTTTCCATTCAATTAAATTAAATGTTTATTTTGATAATAATGTGTATAAATAGAAAGTTGCAACAAATATTTCCATTGCACCAAAATGTATGCAATATTACACTCAATTTGATTAATAATTAGTCCAAAAAATCCGGATTCCCTTCAGATTTGAGGGGAATTTCTGAAAATTTTTTATTTCACTGATAAGAGCAGAAAAGTAATAATAATTTCTTTGCTTATCTTTTCTTATATTATATATTAAAGAAATATTTTCTCTCCGATAACAGAGTCTATGGCTTTGTGTCGAAAGTATTTATTCCGAGAATTGATATTTTGCTGTAAAATATTATCTCTCAAAAAAGTTTGTGTTTTTAACTGGACTTATAATGAACTATAAGTGCATTCCTATGTATAGTACAGTTTTGGTGTTATATAATTGATTCATCAGAAAAGTTAATTGCTTTTAATTAACTCTCTCTCTCTCTCTCTCTCTCTCTCTCTCTCTCTCTCTCGTCGAGAGGTATATCCCAAACGGTTAAGTGTGTAGGCCCAACCAGCCATACCCCTGGTGCCCTAACCATACACACTATGCATGCATATTGGGTTGAAATCATATAAATTTTGAGGCTAACTCTCATTTTAATAAAGTTCTCGAATGTGTTAATGTGTTAACACTACATATAAGTATTCCGACACTTTTTAAGTGTTAGCCCGTGAATAGCGTTCGCAACAAGAATTTTCGCCAACAGTTAATGAATTTTAATTTTTCCCTTAACTTTTAACATCCATCCCCCCCCCCGTATATACAGTATACACAGTGAATAGTATACAACTTCTATACAAACACATACGTGTATACACTGTCCCTCACAGTCACTATCATCTCTACGTACACTACATTATAATAGCCGTACCTCTCGTGTCATAAATCGCAGGAATGTATACCAAAATAAAACCAAAAATTCATTAACCGAACCGATAGTTTTAGGACCTCTCCGTAGCTCAGGTACACTACAGTCTCTCTCTCTCTCTCTCTCTCTCTCTCTCTCTCTCTCTCTAGTGTAGAGTAAGTTAGTGTTAGAGAGAACTGTCGCCCCCATTATATTCAGTTGCCTTAATTGCACGTTTGCCTTAAGGCCCAACAAACTACAGTCAGAAACATCAGTTGCCATTTCAGGTACTGAACACCACAAGTCAGTCTCGAATGTGTATATACACCGCACCAACCGATATACACATAAACTTAAGCACCGGTATCGTACAACAGCAGTACTTCCCTCTCAATAGGTTTGTATGACTTTTTGGCAGAAGTTTTGTTAGCAAATTCACTGGTGTTCGGCCCTTCAGTGCCAATCCACTAATGAATGGGAATGTCTTTCACTGAGAGAGAGAGAGAGAGAGAGAGAGAGAGAGAGAGAGAGACCGGGCTATCAAACAGTTTATCCCTAATATACATGATGTGTATATAGTATATACTGTAAATATATTTCACCTTTTAGTTTATAATTTCTAATTTTCAGATCTCGTGTTTAACTGTAATAATTCATTTGATCTCCAAATTAAGAATTACCACATTTTCTAACACAAAAAAATCTTCCGAAAAGACTTTCTAATAATTTATATGTATTTCCAAACTATGAGCCAAAACTTCTTTTTGCAAAAATATAATTTTCTATTATGTAATAAATATATATATATTTATGAATAGATATTAAATTATATGTAATTTTCAATATAATAAAAATATTTCAATTATATGCCCAGAGAATGCAATATGAAAAAAACAAAATAATAAATTCATAATTCATTATAATTGCAAACAAGGATTTCTTTATTATTATATAATTTAATTATACTCTGATGTCTATTGTATGAAATATTTCAGATATTGTCGGAATAATTAAGTTATTCATTTAATTATATAATTATTAAAGCAGTTTATATTAAACATAAGAATTTCGAAAAAATAAAAATAAAAATTTATATTTAAAATTGTATGACTAATAACTTTATGAGCAAATGATGTGTTTAATTAAATTTATCAACGGATTAAACACTTAACTTTTATATCAAGTAATATATCGATAAATTTTTATTATTAAATCTGTTTTGTTAGCAAATTTAAAACATATTATGGGGTCGACATAAAATGAAATAAGATTTAAAAATAAGCATATCGCACATAATTAAGTGCACAAAACACATGAACTAAATTATCAAACCGTGTGTACAATAAAATATGCAAATAATTATTGGCATAAATAGTGGCAAGAATTCATTTAGCTTTATCACTCGCGAAGTGATAGGTATTATAGCAATGTATTAATGGTTTTATTGGTGGGGATTCTCATTGTTATTATGATCTGAGAAGTTTGTCGGCAATATTCAAAATAGAGAGAGAGAGAAAGAGAGAGAGAGAGACCGGGCTATCAAACAGT